CTGCTTAAGCAATAATCTACATCTAAAAGTTACATGTAAAAATACTCTACTTTAGATACCTAGTCATCAGATACCCAGCACTTGAGGGAGGCCTGCTTTCATACATAGGGAATATTTCACTGCAAAATGGAAAATTGTGTTTTAAATGTTAGTCAGACAAGTAAAGATGTAGCAATGGAATTGTCGTCTAGTAACTGCTCCATATTTTTCAGATATTTCGTAAAATGGAAAGCGTTTACAATTTGAACTTGTGGGCCAACAGGCAGCGTAGTAGTTAAGGCTCTAGACTCCCATGTAGCTTACTGCGGTTCGAGTCCTGGACCTGGCAGCTGGGAACTCACACCGGGTATGTGTGCATGCATACCCAAAATCCTGAGAGGAAAATGGAAGAGAAGGGATTGTGGTGTGGCCATCCCCCTCTGAGAGGAGGAGATTTCTATTCCATCTGCTGGTCCCTGCAGCATTTTTCTCAGTCTCAACTATTTAGGCTTAATTAGTGGCTTATAGGTATGTGCCTGAACCTATATGAGAATACTCATGTACTTGTGGGATGGAGACAGAGGCATAAAGAGAGGGAAGGTATGAAAGCACCCTCCATGGGAATGGTCACACTACAGTCCTTTCTCCATTTCTCCCTCCTTTCAGAATTTTGGGCATGCACATACATACACCCAGTGTATTCTTCAAGCCAGTTGGTCCGGGCTTCAAACAGTAGAATCAGCCATATGAGATTCAGCTGTCTTAACCACCATACCGCAGGCTGGCCTGGACCTACTATTTTTACATCCACTGTACAAAACAGACCAATCCTTGGCCTGTCCTATATGCAGCCTGGTGGGAATGACCACATCCCGGTGGGAATACCACCTCTTGAGCTCTGCATTCTCACTGCTGACTGAGGCCTGGATGTCACCAGATGGGGCATCCCATTGCACTCAAATAGGATGAGCTCTTATTTTTCTGGGTCATCCTGCTCTTCTGTGGTCCAGCTTAGTTTACCCTTGTTCTTCTGGCCACTCTGGGCCAGAGCCTCAAAGTCCATATTGTTTCTCTCTGAGAGCCTCTTCTGCCCTTATTCTACCTCCCAGACTACTTTGTGATCAGCATGCATTTTTGCATTTTCCAACTTTTGTGCTTTTCTTATATTGTCCTCTCCACCTAAGCAGCCTTAATTCGGACCCCAGTCCTCCTCATCTTTTAGGTTTCTGCACAGATTCCATTTTCTCCACAAAATCTTTTGAATTCATTGGAATTTGTCTTCTCCTTTGTTCTCCCACCGACTGCACTTTGTATACTGTTACCATCCACAGCTGACTTTTTCCCAATGATTGATGTTGAAATTTTCAAGCATTCAGAGGAATTGAAGTGATAGTACTGTAACACTCATACACTTACCATTTTTATTCTTTTTTTTTTTCTTTTTTTGAGAAGTTTTCACTATAGGGCATGTGCGCTCACCAGACAGAGAGAGACAGAAAGCGAGAAATCACCCCCTAGGGGGGATGGCCACACCACAATCCCTTCTCCTCCATTCTCCTCTCGGGATCTTGGGCACGCACGCACACGCGCCCGGCGTGAGTTTTAAGCCACCGGTCCGGGACGCGAACCGCGGTCGACTACGTGGGAGTCCAGCGACATAGCCATTACGCTAACTGCTGGTTCCCCCATTTTTATTCTTTAATTAACATTTGCTCTTCTGTGATTAACATCTGCCCACCTCTCCATCTGCCCATCAATCCATTATATATTTTTTTGCATTTCAAAATAAGTAGCAGACATCAGTACATTCTATCCCTACATACTTTTGTATGCATAGCATTAACTAGACTTGAATATTTGCTTTTCTTTTTTTTTTTTTTTTTTTTTTTTGGGGATTTTTT